TATTGATACAACAATTCAAGTATATTTGTAATATAAACATCACCTCTATTTGCAAAAGGCTCGAACTATTCGATTGAAACTTACGATATACTGATAAAGATTTAACATTAGTGTTCTTAAATTCCTATCTTATTTACACGATATTACAAATAAGGTTGTGCTGTAACTTTACTGATGAAAATATCAATATCTCCAGTCAGAAAGAAAAAAATTACCGTTTGTTGTACCGGTGATTTTTATCATGAGTCGTGTATTAGGATAAAATAAACGTTAACGGATTTGCTCGTTTTATTTGTACATCTTTTCAAGATTCAATCGCCGAAACTGTTTCATATGAATAACAGATAAATTATGCTTAGATATCGTAGAATTAATATCTTAAACTAGAATAGAAAGAGGAAATTTAATCTAATATTATGACATGTCACCAAATAGTGTATAACATCTTTTTTACTATGCATACAAGTAATTAAAGTCTCAGAGTCGAGAATAGGAAAATAAATCGAAATAAGAAGAACATGTTAATTCTTTATTCGATGTTCTTCAACTTGCTCGAAAGCATGTCTTGATACTGATCGGACATTCAGTGCTTTTTCATGTTCCATATTTTGGGAATTACTTTGATGGTATGATTTTTTTACCATTTTCGTGTCACGTCCTATCATTATCTAATATTTCTAACAATTTATTTGTAACAATTAAACAATTAATCCTCCTCTATAATATTTTTAAGCACTCTAATATAGAAGTTTATTTGTACGATGATAAAAAATTGCGAATATTTTACAATCACATATCGAAAATAGGATCTCACTATTTTTTTTGAATGAGTAAATTTCTCTTGCGTAAATGCTGAATGAGGTAAGGATAGGTCTTCATACGCAACCTCCACCTGGACAATCATCATTATTTGGGATACAATTACTAATTGTATCACTATTGTGTGATACAATTATAAGTTATATAAGTTGAGCTAATTAGTTACAATCGCGATTCATGTAATTTCTTTCGTGAATCCAAGTTTTAAATATTGAAGATCGTTTAATTTTTATTGGATATTTCAGAATAGTTAAGCAATTGCATCATTAATAAGTTCACTAATAATTTTTTTTTCTTTTCTGTCCAGAATTTTAGACATATCTGAGACATGAAATCCCATTTAACGTCTATTCTATCTTTCAATCAATGAGCTGACACGGTCTGACTATGATATGGTTAGTCTACTGGTGCCCAACAGACGAACGAAACTAGGTTGGGGTACTGTGTTATCGATGGTTGGTAAAAACAATGTTCAGAGGATAACAACGGTCGGTCGTGCAGTTGCATAGACCACGTGTCTGACGAATGCAACGCGAGTGTCTCTGGCATCGTTGTTACATCGGCGATGCACGTCTTCGTCGCGCTCCCTCAAAAATAACGATCCAATGAGAAGCGTGTAAACAATGGTTGGAAGGCTTGGGATTGGCTGCGTTGTCGCCAAGTCGGGTTAGAAGAGCGAATCAGGTGGGACGGATCCAGATCCATGGGAAAATGCATCGGTCGTCCTTTACCCCCTCCAGTGACGGCGGCACGGCTCATATTCAGTAGACTCGGCCATTTCTCTCGCGAAGCGTAGTTACTCGCTCGGCCGCGACATTTTTTTTCTGTAAAACGGTGCGGGTATTCCCGTAAGCTTTGCAAAATAACGCGACGCAAAAGGATGATACACTCCGGGCGCACCAGGCTCGAGGTAAGTCAACGGATCGTCTGACAGGAAAAGGGCTGGCTGTGAAACGCGCGTCAAAGTCACTATACGGGGGGGTCGTGCGTGTGTCCAATGTTGTCATTGCCGAGGCGAACAGCTGATCCGCTCCCCTGGCCTCCGTAATGCTTGGCAACGTTTTCTCGCTCGGTGCACGGTCTCTCGCCGTGACGACGAACAACGAAAACCAACGGTGAACAACACGGTTTCGGCGATGCATCGTACGCGAACATTAAACGAGTTCTTACTTTTTCATCGCTACCATTTCGCGTATATCTCCCTTCTCGTTCTCTTTCTTTCCCTCTGCCTCTCTAACGCCGCGCGCTCTTTCTTTCTCTCTTTTTCCATCTTTCCCCCCTGTCCCTCTGTCCGTCTTTTTTCCGCCTTCCTTCTCGTTTACCGTCTCTGTTTCTCTGATCGACCAACCAACAACTAGCCAACTCCATCCTTTGTTCTTCTTTCTTTCTGCACCTCGGTTCGTTCCCTTTCCATTTCTTCGTCTTTGTCCACGTCTTTGTCTCCCTCGTCATCGTCGTCATCGCCATCGTCGTCACACGCTCATGCCTCGAAACGACAACAGTACATTCGAGTAATGTTTTGTTCCCACACTTCGCGCATTGTTTTTCTCGTTTGTTCCATCGTCGTGGTCGTCACCGTCACCGTCGCTGTCGTCGTCGTCATCGTCGTCGTCGTCGTGGTCGTCTTGAAACGTGCTATTCTATCAGTTGACATGGGTCACTTCCATCCATCTTCGATGGATGTGTCGATACGTACACTAAAAAAACATCATTATTGTCAAAGAGGTTCGTATCTCTCTTTCTCTTTTTTTGACTTATCTAACTATACCCATCTCTCTCCTTTTATCTGTCCTTTTTTCCTCGTTCAGGCCATACTCATCTGACGATTGTTGTACACGCTATTAGAATGTCAATAAGCGTTGTTCTTCTCGCCGGTTGAACAATCGAACAGTTGTCATGGAAAATCGACTCCTTTTTCGAAACTGTTTTCTCTCTCTCTCTTTCTCGCTTCGCGTCTTTGTCATTCCCTGCCTCCCCCACTCTACCTTTCAGCCGTATCTCCCTCTCCTTTCTCTCTCTCTCTCT